TCAATCACTGAAAAATTGTCCGATTTACATTCGGTTTGGACAGGGTGGCTTGTTTTTTTGCGTAAAATTGATTTCTGAAATAAAAAAGTAGGGGTGCCATTTGAAAATTTCGACTTACGGCTGGGGCACCCCCCGCCCCGCGCCCCTCCCGCGGTTTGGGAAAATGTCGAATACGCCAAAAGGTGTCCCCCTCGATATAAACGAACACGTCTTTTACCGTTTTTCGAAATTCCGACGCGTTCGGTAGATATTCAAGGTGGCTCGTTTTTCGTGAGACACCCTGTATATAGTAGGTTCATATGATGGATTTTAAGTGGGATTACGGTACGTTTATTGCTATAACTCAGGAACCGCTTGGCGGCCCACAATGAAACTTTGGAAATGCTTTAAGATTATGTAAGGATCACCTACAAAGAAACTCAAAATTTTAAGAAATGCCCTTTTTGAAAAAATCAAAATTTGCCAAAATTTTTTTTCAATTTTTTTTTTATTTCTTTTTAAAGAAGAAGCTCTAAGCTTCAAAACAAGACCTACTTCAAGTTTTTTCGATGAACCATTGATAAGTAACAGCCGTTCAAAGTTTTATCGGTCATAAAAAAACTCAATTTTTTCCAAACTTTGAAATTCCATATAAAATCAACGGAGCGACACCAAATGACCAAAAATTTGGGGAATATTTTTTTTTTCAATAGGAACTTGCCGCACACCAAGTTTGAACATGATCCGAGAGGTCAAGGTTCAAAACCTCGTCGAGCTGACATGGAATGACCCTTAATCGAGTGGCATCGATTGACGCCTGGGGAGCGGAACTTTTCAGACTTTCATTTTTTTTGACGCACCCTAAGGGACCCTCGGACTCTTTTCGGAAAAATGGTCCTGGCCTCTTCATCGTCGGGCCGATCGGGGCCGCGTTCGAACCAGAACTTCTGCCCTTCGTCCCGCGTTGGGCGGTGCGAGGGCCCCCATCAGGGAGTCCGCATCGGGAGCGCCGCGGGAACCCTCCGAGGGTACAGTTTCTGGGTGGGTCGAGAGGATTTTGGAAAAAAATGGTCAGATTGCTGTTGCGATGGTCATGTTGTTATGCATATGACTCAGGCGCGTCGTGTCGCCGAATCTAGAGGCCTGGATACACGCTCAAATTTCCGTAATTTCCGATCAAAATGATGACAGGAATTGCGGTAAAATTTTTGCAGGCCGCAAAAATTTGATGGTAGATGGCGCGCACCAGTCACCATTTGGTCGGAAATTGATGGAAATTTGAACGTGTATCCAGGCCTTTACTCTGCGGCGGAAGAATTATAGGTGTGTACTTTGACGGGAAACCGAAATTCGGCACCTCGAGTTTGCACATAGCCACGTTTGACCTTTTATGCCAGCTCTCAGACGCTGGAAAAGTCAAAATTCGTGAAACAAATGTTCAAAGGAGCTGAATTGAATATCTCATGCCTATAATAGTTCCGTAAGTCTATTTTTACGATGTTCTTGATTTTTGTCCACACCGCTAATGGAAGTTCCACCCCGCTAATGGAAGTTCCACATCGCTAATGGAAGTTCCACATCGCTAATGGAAGTTCCACACCGCTAATGGAAGTTCCACACTGTGCGCTGGTGCGTGAATCGTGGTGGCCGGAGATTTGAGGATCGCGGAGGCAATTCAATAAAAAAGAGGGGTAGGATTTCAATTGCTCGATCGATGAGCATGACTGACAGTTTTTTGAATTTTCATTTTTCTCCGCTCGGCATGGTCATTTTTATCATGAAGGGAAAAATTCGCTTTAAAGTCTTTCTTTATGCCTGGTTGTTTCATCTTTAAAATTTAAAGAAAACAAAGTACAGTCCACTCTAAATTTTATTGTCTTTTCTTCAGTTTCTAGCTCTTGACTGAAACAAAATATAGGAAACAAATTGGTGTGAAAGCATCAGAAAATTTTGCTTACCTTCCTTCATAGTCAGATTCGACTGCTGAGGGAGTAGCTTGAATGGCATACTCAAAAGATTCAGATGTTTCATCAAATTTGGGGCCCAAATGTTCGTCCATAAATTCAAAAAACTCCCATGAAATGACGACGGACTCATCACTTGTCTGCTGCTTGATTTTATTCTTTCGGTAAGTGGCTAATAGGTTTCTATATTTACTATCACATGAATGACCATTGACAATGAATCCATTATTTTGCATTTCTTTAGCAACTTGTTCCCACAACTTAATTTTTCTACAAGACGGTCGGTTGAACTCTTCATCCCGTTGAAATCTCAACATTAAGAGGACTCTGACGGATTTTTCATTCCATTTGAATTCGGTCTTCGTAATAGATCCACGTGCATCTGGAAGAATAAAGATCGGCAAATTGAAGAAAATAAAGGCTATACCTGGATATGTTACGAGAGTTTCGATGGAAATTGAATGAGCAGCAAAACTTTAGTCATGCATATTGGACTGAGAGGATGGAGGCGGTTTCCAAAAATCCTGAACAAGGACACCTCACGTGGGCGAAAATTTAAAATAGGGGACATTTCAAGATGAAAAAAGTCGAATAATCAAGTTTATCATTTCCCCTGAAAGTTGTGTTTTCTTAATTCTGGACGATTTCTGGGATCTGAAAACGTATATGGTCCCAATGTTTTCGCAAGCAGTTTTATTTACAGTTTTTTCTATTCAAATTTCAGCTATTTGTGGCGGTCGTGAGTTTCGAAACAAAAACGCAGCACGTGCCGCCATCTTTAGGATCGAACAAATGGGCACCAGATTCCTATCTTGGTACATACCCTTTGATAAATGGTATGCATGATTTCAGTAATTCATTTCAAAATAGAAAGGACGAGCGTCCTTTCGTTCCCCTCGGTCGTGAGTTTCCAAGTGAACAGAATCATTGCTTGCCAACCGGTGTTGCTGTGATTCCCAAAAAACTTCAACCTGGTAATGAATAATGATAAATATTCCTCCCACACTTCAAGGTATCCTTAGGTAACACCGACGCCGATCGGATTACGTTCCCGTTACTTACACGCTTTTGGGTATAGCATTCATCTCAGATAGAGTCTACCTGTGACGGTCGTGAGTAAACCTTTTCGAACGCTCATTTCCGCTTGAAGACGAATTATACTGCGGATTATNTCTAAATATTCCAGTAAAAGTGTCTATGCCGGCGCGAAGCGCCGGCTCGAGCGAGAAAGTCCCGTGCGGTCCCCGCACCAATCCGCTAAGCGGATGGGGGGGCGAAGCCCCCCAAATGCCGGCGCGTAGCGCCGGTACGCGGCGCGAAGCGCCGCGCATAAATTGGCCGGAGGCCAATTTTTTTTTAGATGGAAACACGTTTTAAATATTTAATGATGTGTAAGTTCTCGGATAACGTTTTACTCTTTGAGTTGTAACGGTGCAATCTAGGAACCATACGGCCGGGATGCGGGACGGTCTTGAGTTTGACACCATTCAAAGGGTAAAATTTTACCCAAAAAAACAAGATTATGAAATCAATTTTTTATAGTACATTTTTAGAAAAAAGCGTTTCCTACGTATAATATAGGCCAAAAAATAGAGTAGAACATATTTATTTGATAATAAAAGACCAGGGACAAGAGTGTCTCATATTTCAAATTTTTGCCCACACACATACACAATACCAGGAAATTCGGCATCGGTCACAATTCGAAATTTTATATACAAGATAAGCGAAAAGCCCCCGGCCCCTCCCTCTAACTTCTTACCTAATTAAGCTAAGAGTTATGAGCTAAGAGATGTTCCTAGGTCAAAGGGAGCTACTTTATGGCCCCCTAAAATTTTCAGGGGTGCCCTCTTAGGGTGCGGCTTATACGAGAAATTAAGAAGGTTGAATTTTGAAATTGACAAGGGACCCCGCCAAAACGTTCCTAATATTGTAAAAACAAACGTTGTAGAACAGTTTTGCATTTGAGTTCTAATTAATAAATTTATTCATAAATAGGCAATATATAACCTAAAATGCACCCCATCCTCCACCTTAAGCCCCCCAGCCCCCCCCCACTCCCCTTCCTCACCGATCCAATATAAATACACTCTTTATAAACTACGCTATTTTGGTAGTGACCAAAGTGACCAAAGATCTAAAGTAACACTGGTCAGCACGGGTTCAAATGTGATTGTGCTGGGGTAGTTTTTAGCGCTGAGTCCGAAAGTGACCTCCGTTAGGCTAGAACAGGTCGATTTTCCCCGGAAAAATCAGAATTTTCCTTAAAAATCGAGCTTTTCCGGTGAAAAATCAATTTTCCGGAAAATCTGTGCACGATGGAGGAAAGATAAGGTCATCTTCGGATTCAGCAGCTAAAATTACATGGGAAACCACATATTGCATGCCTATTAAAGTTTCCGTTCTGTTCCAAATATCGAGGTTTTTCCGGACAAGTGCCCCTTTCCGCCCATGCAACGCAGGCATACAACAATAAACTGGACATTAGCGGTTTTCGCATGATTCGTGCATGGTCGGTTCTAAATAATCGAAACTCATATGTTTAAGTATGCCTACCGGGCTAAATAAGGTCATCCTAATGTATTTTGAGGCGCTGAATCCGAATATGACCTCCGTTTTATTCCATCACCCTCCGATTTTCCGGAAAAACCTATTTTACTCGGAAAAGTGGCCATTTTTGGGCACTTTCGGTGTATTTCCTACTGTTATCCCCTGCAGAATGTAGGTAAAACTTTTCGTAGCTACGAGATCCACGTTTGCCAATGTCTTTTTGACTGAAAAATCCGGAATTGACCTTAATTTTTCCCGTTCATCTCTCAGTTTTCCGGGAAAGCAACTTTTTCCCGGGAAAATGAGCAAATTCGACGTATATATGTCGTGCATGAAATTTATTTTTATAAATTTTCCTGGACCCGTGATAGTATATTGCCTCTGTATTCTGAGCTGCTGAATCCGAATATGACCTCGGTTTCTTTCTATCACACTTCAGATTTCCGGTAAAGCCGATTTTTCCGAGCCTAAAATTGTGTATCGTAAAAGCTTCGCCGGACTCTAAGTGTGTTCGAAATTCATTTTAAAAATGTCTCCGATGTGTGATACATCGATTCCTTTGTGTATTGAAGTGTTGAATTCAAAAATGATCTCAGATTATTCCGATCACCCATCATTTTTCCGGAAAAGTCGCTTTTCCTAAGAAAACGCATCATTTCGGGTATTTTTGCGGGATGATTTTCCTGCTCTGAGGAGTTTCAAAAATTCTCCGGTGGGTGATATCGAATTTCTAAGGTCATATTTGGGGTTTTCAGCTCACGTTACATGTAAAACGATGCATCACACATGCGGAAAATGTTTTGAATTTCCCTGGAAGAGGGAACAGTCTGGAAAAGCTTTTGGCCGGGAAAAACCGGGCCAAGAGTCCGGAAAAATCGGACCTTCTCGAAAAATGGGGGCTTGTCAAAGATGAGTGAAGGTCAAATTCGAGTTCAGTGCTTCTTAATACAGCAAGAGAGACCAAAAAAGGATCTCGGAAAATTTCTGAAACTCCTCAGAGCAGGAAAATCATCCCGCAAAAATACCCGAAAAGAGCGTTTTCTTAGGAAAAGCGACTTTTCCGGAAAAATGATGGGTGATCGGAAAAATCTGAGATCATTTTTGAATTCAACAGTTCAATACACAAAGGAATCGATGTATCACACATCGGAGACATTTTTAAAATGAATTTCGAACACACTTAGAGTCCGGCGAAGCTTTTACGATACACAATTTTAAGCTCGGAAAAATCGGCTTTACCGGAAATCTGAAGTGTGATAGAAAGAAACCGAGGTCATATTCGGATTCAGCAGCTCAGAATACAGAGGCAATATACTATCACGGGTCCAGGAAAATTTATAAAAATAAATTTCATGCACGACATATATACGTCGAATTTGCTCATTTTCCCGGGAAAAAGTTGCTTTCCCGGAAAACTGAGAGATGAACGGGAAAAATTAAGGTCAATTCCGGATTTTTCAGTCAAAAAGACATCGGCAAACGTGAATCTCGTAGCTATGAAAAGTTTTACCTACATTCTGCAGGGGATAACAATAGGAAATACACCGAAAATGGCCACTTTTCCGAGTAAAATAGCTTTTCCGGAAAATCGGAGGGTGATGGAATAAAACGGAGGTCATATTCGGATTCAGCGCCTCAAAATACATTAAGATCACCTTATGTCGTCCAGGAGACACTTTTTTCTTTTGGTGTGTTGTACTGTTTTATGAGGCATATATCGGAGGATGGACATTAGCGGTTTTCGCATGATTCGGAGCACGGCCCTCCCTGAAAAGGGGTTCAAACCCAAGGAACAAACATTTTCACCACATTAATGAGTGTGTCTGACCTCCGAGAGTATTTTAACCCAAAAATCTCAAAATTGAAAAAAATGGACATTAGCGGTTTTCGCACGAGCCGATTTTTAATGAATGCAATGAGTGGAAAAGTCACCACGAAAAAGACACTAATGTAAGAATTTTGTAAAAAAGTTTCTCATCAAATAATAATGATGATCCGCTATCCATTTAAGAATGTCTCAGTTGATCTCTAAAAGGTGATTATGCTGCCACGTTTAGATATGTTTAAAGACATACTGTTCGCCCCCAGGCTTAAGGGTGGACTAAGGGTACACAAATTGTGTTTGTCACTGGGACTTCTACAAGTTCATATGGCGGGAATAGGGTTAGAATGCAGTCATTGCGGTGGAAATTCGAGTAACTTTGGACCCACCCTACTATGTTTGAATACACAATAATAAAACTTCACTTCCATCCTCAGGTTTCAAGTACCTACTCAGTAGTTACTCATTAAAAGAATTAAATATTGATTCTTACCTGGTATCAGTGCACGACCACCATCCACAGATTAAATAAACGTAGCGATGATGATGATGATACGAATTGATGAATTATGAATGAAAAAAAAGTACTCACTTGCGATGGAACAGTCCTCATCCGGAGCAGCGTTGCTGGATTCGTCTCCATCTTCAAGCTCAACGACTTGCTGCCTGATTTCATCATGCTCGCTGCTCATTGTTTCTTCTTCAGATAGGAAGCAGTAAGGTATACCGGATTTTCAACTTCTTACTAGTTATAAAACGTTACTATCACGACAGTTGCATTGACATAACAACAATCGTGCAAAAGAGAACTCAAGCAAACAGCAAACTGCTCGAGAATTTGATAAGGACGGCGAAGCGGCGATGGAAACGATGGAGTCAAGGAGTTGGAGGCAAAATGTTGTTGTTTTATCAAGAACATTACACTTCTGAGTTCTGATGCCTCATCGGTACTCATCGATGAGTACTGAATCAATAGACCGTATTGTACTGTAGTATTCGATACATCAAACAGGTGAGATTGTATCGATATCGATTGGTTCTAAACATAAATGTAGCCTCAAAAGTAAATTCAGAAATGTAGGAGAACGGGTCCTTTGTAACAGATTTTTCATTCTTCTGAGTACCAAATGCCAATTCAAAGTGAAATTGTCAGGAAATTTCTCATTTTCAGCTTTTCCAACTTAAATCCTTCAGTTTGGTTTCAGGTTATGTTCTATAGATCGTATTCGATACATCAAACGGGTGAGATTGTATCGATATCGATTGGTTCAAAACATAAACATAGCCTCAAAAGTAAATTCGGAAATCTGAGAGAACGGATCTTTTGAAACAGATTTTTTATTCTTTCGAGTACCAAATGCCAATGCAAAGTGAAATTGTCAGGAAATTTCTCATTTTCAGCTTTTCCAATTAAAATCCTTGCAGTTTGGTTTGAGGTTATGTTCTATTGTTTTAAACCAAACGATACATCGAACCGTTATCGAATACGGTCTATTGTTTTTAACCAAACGATACATCGAACCGTTATCAAATACGGTCTATTGCCATTGCTATCAAACCAACAACAACATTTATGTGATAATTTGTTTACCTGTATTTTTATTGGTACATTTAACTGATTGCTAGAAATTCCTACCGATTGTATTTCAAGTTTTTTTTTTTACTGATAATTTTACCATTAATGTTACTCGAGGCACCATGTCGAAGACAATCAAAGCAATTGACAGAGAAGCTGTGCACCGCATTTGCTCAGGGCAGGTCCGTGTCTCCTGTTTATAGGATTTTCAAACAACGCCTTCCATTGTCAGTTAATATAAATCCACGATCACAACTCTAAACTTCTCCAACTCTTCAACTATATTGAAGGGGATGGAATAAATTTAAGTCGTGTTTCGTTTTCAAAAATGGTGCCTTACTAAATCAATTTGAATACTATCAGTCGACTAGATAACATTTGTCGAATTAATTGCTGGCTTGTCAGCTTGTTAATTTAATGAGAGAATATCCTACCTATTGCAAAGTCAGGCTGCTGGTCAAATGTGTCTTCAAATAGGGTATACTTACATGGTCATCTGCAGCCTGATTGTTGAAACTTTAACCGGCGAAGTAAGATAAGACAAGACATAGCCCTATCTGCGCCACGCGCAAATCGATTATCGATTCTTGTCGTGCCGACATACATTTCAACAATCAGGTTGCTGTCTGGCAGTAAGCATACCTGTTAGTTGGAAATTTGAGATTATTTTCTATATGTGTAAGATTTACGAGATAAACAATAGAACCTTGATGCCTATATTAATTTTATTACTTACATATGGTACTTACATGCAGGAGCGGAAGCTTTTCGAGGGTTCAGCGCTCATCATCAGGGCACTTCATCATTTATCCTGTCAATCTTATGTTTAGATGCTAATCCAAAAATCATGTTTAATTACTGCATGTGTAATGATCTAGCCCGCTTTGTAAGCAAGTGTCAGAAATAGGCAGCAAGATCTTTGAAATCTTACCTTCCTTCAGCATGGTCAAGGTGATTCTGCATGATCTAGAGATGAGATTCGCCACTATGTTGCGCTGTTATGCTGTTTGTGCCTTTGAGAAGCATTAATTATCATTATGTACAAGATAAAGCAAGAAACTGATTCATACTGTGTAGCAGCATTAACACTAAGTAGAATGACATCGAATTTGTCAAAATTCATAGTAAATTGATACCTGAAACTGTGATAATGTAAGTATATCACCCTTTGGCTCAATGTGTAAGAGGGAGATGGCGCTCTAATAACTCTCTCTTACACATTGAATCAATGGGCAAAATCCGTCATCGTAGTTTCAGGTACTAATTTACAGTGAATCTTCACAAATTCGATATCATTCTACAATTTTTCATCATTAATGCTGCTAAACTCTATGGATCAGTTAATTGCAGGTACCTGCCTTTTTTTTCTTTTTATTGTTTGAATTTTTGTTACTTTCTCAACGAGAAATATAAACAATTATTTTACATTATGAGGTAGTGTTGCAGAATGCCTCGAAAGTTTAGAGGCATTTTTTCTTAACTTATTGTTAATGATGATGAGTAGATGTGATGATCATGTGATTGATGATGGGAAATGTGTGGGTGGAATGGGATGAGTGGGCTTCACAGTGTACAAATGAAACATAAAGATTGAATAATTTAAAAATCAGAAATCAGAGTCATACGCTGTTGTCAACTCCCAAGGCTCTGTCTTTTTGAGTCTTCTAAGTTCATTGAAATTGTCAAGCAATTCTATAGCCTCCTCGTTGAGATGGGAGTGGAGTCTAGTTTCATATCGAGAAGCAAGTTTCTTAATATATTCTACCACAGGTTCGATGCCCAGGTCCCTACGTGTATCTCTGTTGCGCTCATACCTTTCGGCTTTGCAGATTTTTCTTAACATTTTACTTTGCATGCTTTGAATTAACTTTAGATTAGTTGTGGCTAATCAGCCTCAAAGCTGGCAACCGTATGACCAGGTCGGTCTTATTATCTGTTTATAAAGTAGTATCTTGTTGTCTACTGACAGAGTCGACATTTTTCCTAGTAGCCAATTGAGTCTGCTGAATTTAAAATTACATTCTTTTTTCTTAAGTTTGATGTGATGTTTCCACCTTAGTCTTTGATCTAATGTTATCCCTAAGTATTTAGAATATCTCGATTTTGGGATTTTAGTGTTGCTAAATTTTAATTTACTTTTTTATGCAAGTACCTAAGTATTCAAATCATCCAATTGTTTTTTTTTACCCTTGTCTTAGAATTCATCAACACTCATCAGCACATAACTTTTTCAGGTTGTTTTGAATCTGGCAACTGCTGTCAAAGAACTCGTAGAGAACAGTTTAGATGCAGGGGCAACAACTGTAGAGGTCCGACTCAGGGAGTATGGCAGTGATCTCATTGAGGTATCTGACAATGGAAGTGGAGTGCTCTCTGATAACTTCCAAGGATTAAGTAAGTTTTTTTCATCTTTTTTCAAAAGTTATTTGACTTTTAATCTTAAACTCTCTGTGATGCTTTCAGCATAGCAATATTATATAAAAACTTGGGATGTTTTAATTTTAAAAATCAAGAAATTTTATTGATTTGACATCCTCGCAACCTTCCTTTGTAATTAATTGGATTAATGGACCACTAGACAAGGTACGAATTTAAGCGATCTGACACATGTTTCGTAACCAGAATTTTACGTAAAAACCGATTCTTACAACAAAAATTACTGAAACCAACTTTTAATGAAGATATTAACGTTTTTATTACACATTGGTTATGAGGAATTTGAACTGCCCGCTCACAAGAAACTCAAAGCTCCACGTGAGTCAAACCGCGCACTACAACAGTTTCAGCAAGCTTCTCAATCGAGCTATGTTCATTTCCCACCATGTGTTGTTCAAACTATAAGCAATTTGCTATAGCTGAGCCAAAGCGTCAAGATCGAGGTTTTCAGATTTTTATATCGCAGAGACTGTCATGATAACGTTTAGCGCTTGATGTGAATCACGTAGAGCATTGAGTTTTCATGAGCGGATGGTTCAAATTCATGCATTCAGAATCATTAAATATCTTCATAAGATATTGATTTTGGTAATTTTCGTTGAGCGCATCGTGTTCTGTGTGAAATTTTGGATAATAAACATGTATCAGAATGCTGAAATTCGTACCTTGTCTAGCGGTCCATTGCTACTAAAAGATTTCTCCATTTTTGGCCTTTTTAAGGAAAGTAGATGAGTTAGTAAGTATTGTAATGGAGCTGTTGCATGTGTGAGGAATCTGCGATTTGACCATTGATTCTTATGTAAAAGTTCGCGAGAGACACGATTGTGCCACTGGTTTTCTCTGAAATCAAGTTCCAAGATCAAAAAAAGCTCTCAAGTTGAGGCCAAGATGGAGCGGATATCCCACGCTATCCTGAGAGTCCACCTCCACATCAAGACAAACTCTCCATGCTAAGGTAGGGAGCAAATACATCAGCAGGGTTGCCGTGTTTTCAGTTTTAGAGTCCCCAAATTAAGTGGCAGCCCTGTCAATGTATTTGCTCCCTATCTTCGCATGGAGAGTTTGTCTTGATGTAGAGGTGGACTCTCAGGATAGAGTGGGATATCCCCTCCATTTTGGCCTCAACTTGAGAGCTTTTTTTGAGCTTGGGATTTGATTTCAGAGAAAACCAGTGACACCATCGTGTTTCTCGCGAACATTTACATACGAATCAATTGTCAAATCGCAAATTCCTCACAAATGCAACATCCCCATTATTATTATGTAAACAAAAAGCACAATAATCAATCACGTTTCAAAAATGAATTTGAGACTCTTGAAACATCGTAAGTTACTGAATAAATACTTTTTTATCTTCTTATTCTCCCTACAGATTATTTTAACTGACAAATTTTTAGGGAATATATCATGAATGGTCTTTTAGAACAGGCTCAGCAGAGCCTCTCATAAAAAGTCACTCTTAAGAAGTAGTTTGAAACGAATTCTTCCATTCACAAAAAATTTTTAATTTGAGTCTTTTTTCCACCTCCAATACTTAACAATGCTAATTTTTTTCCTGTTCATTGTTCACACAATTTTGTGATCCTTTACGTTTTGGTTTTCATTTCTCTCTCTCTCTCCCTCTGTCCCTGTCACTCTCCGTCAGCTGCAAAACATCATACCTCAAAACTTCTGGACTTCTCTGACTTAGTGAATGTTGAAACTTTTGGCTTCCGTGGTGAAGCCCTGAGCTCTTTATGTGCGTTGAGTAATGTCACAATCATAACCAGACATGAATCTTCAGAGACTGGGAGTAAATTAGTATTTGACCAACATGGAAATATTACAAGGACCTCTCCAACTTCTCGACAGGTAAACAAAAGTTACCAAACTTTTGCCATCTGTAAGAATTTTGATGTATTAAATTTTCCCTCTCTTTCAACTTTTTTCTTTGAACTACCTGTAATTGTGAGGTATTCCCTGAATTTTATGCTGAAGTGAACTTGCTCTCTCATCCTCATAGCCTCTTTACTCAGCCCTCCCATTTTTGCACAGGGCCAGTACAATCCACTGGCCTTAAGAAGTTTCTGCACCTCTCCTTGAGAATTCTTATTACCAGTCACATAAATTGTAAGTCTCAGAAAATAGTCTGAAATTTCCTGAAATTGTCATACAGAGGGTGTCCGAAAACAACTGAAACCAAGTCTGTTATTCGGAAAGCATGATAGATATTGAAATGCGGTTTATGAGAGGTTGTAGTCCATACTATTAGCTATCAAAACTCAAAATTGGAGCTTATTCGGTCGAAAACTCATCGAGTTATATATATATCCCATTATTTATCATACTTTTTATCATACTTAAATACAGGGACATCATTTCCATTGATTTATCAACTTGGTTTTCAATAGCTTTGCCCTAAGTCGTTTATAGCCCACGGTGACACGACTATTCCTTTTATCATGAAATCACCCATGTAAGTTTGTTTATGTCAATTAAGTTTGGCTTTTGAAATAGCTATTTTTTAATGCTTCATTTATCTTCCAATATTTTTATAGGTTGGAACAACAGTAATTGTGGAAAAATTATTCAAAGCACTTCCGGTCAGGCAAAAAGAGTTTCATCGTAATTTGAAAAGAGAATATTGCAAGATGATTCAACTTTTAAATGCGTATGGATTAATCTCAACAAACGTAAGGTTAGTTTCTTCCCATTATTAATTGTGAATCAGTAGACCCTAATTATGCATTTGCCATCACCACTACGGCTCTTCTCATGATAGTTGACTTAGTTCTTTGTCTTCAGAAATTTGAAATAGGTAACAAGAGTGCTTATGGGAAGATTTTCAAAGCTAATTTTTCTCCATTCAATGACAGTTCTCTTTAAGGAAAGCATACTGTAAAGGGAGGATGATTTTTTTTTCAATAACTTCTTTCTCAATAGCCTTAGAAAATTAGGATGAGCAGGTACAAATTTGCAATTTCCTCTGAAGTCATATATTGTTTGTATTAGAAAAGCTCAACATTAGGATGCTCTTAATATTTGAGTTTCTTCCCAAATTGTTTGGCTTCACAAAGAGAAAGTATCTGTCTCTTCCATACAGAAACTTTATTTTTAAAGACGTATTTTGGAGTCAAGGGAGTGTCAAAAATTTTGTGGAATCTCTATATAGTTAGAGTTTTAGTCAAAAAATTTCTTCATTCACAGAAAGTTTAATGCCAGCAATAAGCGCTGCAGATGAATTGACCAAAGGTAAATTTTGGTTCTTATCTTTTTTTTACCAAGAAAACAGTTTTGACTGAAAAATCCCCATGCGCTCAAGAATTTCCTAATTTTCTGTGACCCTGCTTAAATTATTGATTCTTAATGGCTCTACAGAAAAAAGAGCGACTGTTTTGCATGACAAGCAATTGTTTGAAACAAACTCTCTCAAGTCATCACAATCTGATTAACACATTATCGATAAATGTTGTAGACTGAGCTGCACCAATCAGACCAAAAAAGGAAGCAGATCTGTGGTATTGTCGACACATGGCTGTAAAACTGTCAAAGAAAATATTGCATGTATTTTTGGGTCCAAACAGGTTTGAATGATTTTCATGTCCTTCATATTTAATATATTCAAATTACTGAATTTTTGGAACTGAAGGATACCTGAATTTTTGGTGGAGAGAATCATAGGATCTCAATCAGGAAATCATCAATTGAAATACATCAAATGGACAGATTTAACCAGAATCAACCCAACCACATCAAACATGGTGCAATTTTCTCTGATCCTTTATTTTTTAACAATTAATCAAGGCGCATTCCACATCAACTGTGCCAGGCTCGGAATCCGACCCCCTCCGATTTGGCCGAAAATTGGTATACGAGGTCCTTACTCCATTCTGAGAAACCATTCTGAAGTGTTTTCCCGTCCCACACCTCGCTTGCAAGATATCGACCTCCAAAGAGGGGGTGAATTTAAGTGATATTCAAAAAAGCCCGTTTTAGCGTTTCTCATTTTCGTGACTTCCCTCTCTTTGACTGTCCATGGTGAGACTCTGTATTGATCCATCAAACTTTTAGAAAGTGTTCCCGAACCAATTTTTTATTAGATTCTAAATATGCCATCGACATCGAGCTTAAAATAATTTAAATGACCGTAATTTAGGGTTTTTTAAAATTTACTATTTTTTCGCCGTCCAATGTTCAAACTGAAATATCTATAAAACATTCCCTCCCATTCTTGATTTTTTTTCCTACTTTAAGTTTAGGATATACTAGCCGTTCCGGTCGCGCTCAGCGCGTCCATCACGGCCAGCCAAGGGGCTGCGCCCCCTGGACCCCTGCTTACTAGCTACGCGAGTGACATTCGGCGCGCTCCGCGAGCCATTTTTCTACACACAGAAAATCTGGTTTCTAATTTCCAGTTTCCATCAGGCCGTTAACCGACTGGCGAATGTATGAAAGTGTTGATAGTCTGACTTTATGCATCTTAGGGTTGAACTAGGAAAAAAATATCGATAATTGAAGTGTTTACTTTTGCGGCAATTAGATTAATGTGTAAAAAATCGTCTTTTCAGGACCAATTTTTGACCTTTCTTGGCCTTTTTGAATTTTATTTAGGCCCTTAACCATCCGATGGCAATTTAAGTAAGTGTACAAACCAAAATATATATCCTAAGCTTGAAGTAGGAAAAAAAATCAAGAATTGGAGGGAATGTTTTATAGATATTTCAGTTTGAACATTGGATGGCGTAAAAATAGTAAATTTTAAAAAACCCTAAATTACGGTCATTCAAATTATTTTAAGCTCAATGTCGATAGCATATTTAGAATCTACATAAAAAATTGGTTAGGGAACACTTTCTAAAAGTTTGATGGATCAATACAGAGTCTCACCATGGACAGTCAAAGAGAGGGAAGTCACGAAAATGAGAAACGCTAAAACGGGCTTTTTTGAATATCACTTAAATTCACCCCCTCTTTGGAGGTCGATATCTTGCAAGCGAGGTGTGGGACGGGAAGACACTTCAGAATGGTTTCTCAGAATGGTGTAAGGACCTCGTATACCAATTTTCGGCCAAATCGGAGGGGGTCGGATTCCGAGCCTGGCACAGTTGACGTGGAATGACCCCCAAGCAAATATATGGAAAGTTTAAAGGTATTTGTACCTAGTTTTGTTCTCTGTCTAAAAAATAAGGCATCAGAGAAAATTAGGCACTGTGAAATGCAGTTAGGCCGATTCTAAGAAAATAAATTGGGAAATAACAGTAACTTACTTGTGTTGTTCTAATTTCATTCCTTAATTTTAGAAGAGTTCTAATTTTTTTAAAACCCGTTAATCCACCTATAACCAACTTAATTGGTCCTCCAAGTTATCCATATACCTATGAAATAAAATAAATTACGTTAAGGACAACAGTGTAAAATGCTCTAAAATGTCTTATTAAGCCTCTATGGTATGAATTAATTTTGGATTTTCGATTTCAAGGGGCTCAGATCTATGCTGTAGATTTTGTAAAAATATTAAGTTCCATTTTTTCCCTCCAAATTTAAAAATTTTGGCATTCATGTTTTCGTACTTGAAAACACCGAAACAAATTTGCATTGTCATGCCACAGAAGAATGATTTTTTTTTTCGAAAAACCAAAAATGCATAGTAACGAAATTGTTCCACCATGCTATAGAGGATCAATGAAACAAATCATGACCTTGATTTTGGATGATAAAAATCTACAGGAGAAGAATTCATAAAAAATAGTCAGTTTTACTAATTATTCCTCACATGATCTGAGCTTAGACTGGCAGCTTTAATTAGTGCGCAGTGGCAATGATTCCGGTTTTGGTTAAATCATATGCAATATCTCTGACTTTTATGGACACCTCTGTTCCGCCTTATTATTCACTATAACTAGCAGTGCTCCCCATAGATGATTCATCAAGCACAACTTGGCATTTCTGCCACTTAAAGTATGCCAGCTCATCCTGGCATAATTTGACAGCTGCAGCCCTTTTACTTTAGGTATGTATTGTCAACTTACAGTAGACATTTTATTAATTTTTGTTTCCTTTTATTCTGCAGTTGAACAGCCTTCTAGATTTAAAAAAGGTTTTGCCAGGTAACGAAACGTTAGCAGAACTGAAAGTGAAGGAAGAGGAGGCTGATAAATTCAACTTTGAAGGCATCATATCTAGTTGTGCTCATGGCCAAGGAAGAAGCTCTGGTGATCGTCAATTTTTTTACATCAACAATCGACCGTGCGAGCCCTCCAAAGTAAGAATATGACCACAGAATATAATACTCCTTACAAGAAAAAGATGTGTTTATTTATATCTGAGTAGGAGCCTCTCTCTTATTCGCAGTGGTATGTGCTAGGGAAGGGCGATGGTTTGGCACCTTAAACTGAGGAGGTAGCCCTGTGATCTCCAGAGAAAGTTACCTGTCCCTCATACTCATGTGTCGTTGATAATTATCGTGCATGTGTGTTCGTATTGCACAATTGAAGTTTTCTTAAGAATTAGTCTACATTGTAAATTTAAGTTTTGTAAGTTCAGGTAGGGAGGGTACTATGTACCCTCTCTACCTGACGCCAAAGCAGTCCGGGCGCACCTGAATCCGACAGACCGCACAACTCCCGGCAGCAATGTATACCATGTGACGTCACGAAGTCCTAGTTTCGAAGCGCGGGAATAGACCCGTTTCAAATGGCCTTTGACTTTGAGGAGCTTTTTCTCAAAGTTCCGGTGAGCGGAAAATTTTTTAAAAAATACCCCAATACTCAGTAGACTTCAAACTTTTAGGAATTGAATTAAAAAAAATCCATGCAACTACCCCATTCTACTTTTGAATTTATTCAATTCCAGATCGTCAAATGTGTGAATGAAGTTTATCATTCTTTCAATTTGCATCAAACACCATTTGTGTTTTTAAACATCACTGCAGCAAGACATTCGGTTGATGTGAATGTAACCCCGGATAAAAGACAAATTTTCTTGGATCATGAGAAACTACTTCTTGCAACAATCAAGGTAATACATCTGACTTTATTTTTACTGTGCATTTATGCAGTTTCTGCTTTATATTTTAGTTTCAAATCCCCTGTGTTTCTGATACCTCTTCAGATACATATTTAACATGAGTATCAATCAAGTATTTATGAGTAAACCAGGAAAGCAGTTATCTTCATTTGGGATGTTACTTACCTACCATTATACTTTATTTTTGAATGGGAAAATCATCAATGTCATTTCTTGAAAATCTCTTGGATTTTTCTGCTTTGTTTGCAAAGTATTCTAAGGAAGTATCAAATAAAAAAGTTTTCCTTTCTTCCCCGCAAAAAGATGAAAATAAAAGAAGAGCAGAGATTTCAGAATATCGATATCAGTTTTCTATGTGTGAGCTTATGTCATATGTGTTCTCAGAGTCTAGCTATCAATTCGCTCAGCATTATCTTGAAAATATTCTTTATGCAACCCATCATGAAGGGAAAACAGCACATATCTACATAATTGTCATCCTCTATGAGGGAACTCCCTGCAACTACTATATTCTTTTGCTGTTGTTTTAATTAATCAAAGGGTCATGCATTTTATTAAAGCAAAATTTATTAGTGTGTTCTTTTTAAATTATGTTTTATTTATCACTCTTTTGCAGGCATCTTTAATGAGTTTGTATGAAAAAATACCCTCCACATTCCAAGTCAACAATAGTTTTAAATTTGCACCATCAGAATCCACACTTAATCTGTCATCAGAGAGTCCAACAACTAATGTAAGATCCCCCTCGAAAACTTCATCCTTGGAGAAATGGAGACATTCAAGTCATATGGGGGTTTCAGAACTCCCTACCAACAAATGTAAACCTGAGAATAAGTTTAGTCAGCCTTCAAAACGTAAGATTTGTCATTTATGAAAGAAAACTTAAAGTATTTTATAATTAAGAAGCTGTCCTCAAGATGAAGCATTCTCTGAAGCTTTAATGGTGAGAAATAAACGGGCGCGAGCAAACTTGCTGAATTTTTGTGGAATTGCCGTCAAAAAAAAGACATTTTCTGGCCCCGGACAACTTTTTTCTTTGAAGGTCTGTGGACAGAAGAGAGTGAAAACTACGTGGATTAGATTGTTTCACATTTTTTACAGGGTTATCATAAAAGTAATTTTTCCTTTTTTACAACTTTCAAATCAAAAGACGTAAATCAAATTAGTTAAAAAAATTGATGTCAGGTATAATCTCTGATTTAAAACAAGACCAAGATTTTAAAAGCAGGTCAAAAGGTTGGCAAGGAGAGTAAATTTTGAACGGGGATTGCGAGACCACCTTCTGTTGCAACGTTGCTAACTTCCTCTGCACCAGTGGATCACACCGAAGATTCCACATTTTTCCTTAGAGGTAAAGTGTGCTGGATACAGAGGTATTGGATTAACTTTCGACTGCTAATAAAGGCATCACAAAACTTTGAGTTTTTCACTGAGTGGTTTGTCGTAATTTTCAAATAATTTACAAAAATACAGGGGGTCCCAGAGCCCACGCTCTGGGACCATGAAATTCGGATTCCTTGGGGTTGATTCCCTGTTCATACCCTGAACTTCGTACGATCCAAATTAACCAAAAAAAGGCCTGGTATGGTAGGTCTGGGCCATCCTGTATGACTGAAGTCATAAGGATCTAAATAAGTCCAGTAACTTTGCCTTTAGCATCCCTCGTTTTTGAGAAAGAAATTGAGAATTTCTACTGTTTGTGCCCAGGAAAGCGCGCATGCAACAACAGGAGGACGTCACACAGTGGGATGAACTGCCAAAAACGCGTGAAAAACTTAGATTTTCAATTTTCTTATATTGAGGGGAAAATTATAATCGTTCATCACCACCATCTTTACTGACTATTCACAAATTTCTCGCACCATACACTGGTTTTGACATGAGACACAAGCCTTTGAAGTCAAGCTTTCGCGGTTGCTGATTTTCCTGCGTTTATAATGGCATAATTGCAGGACGGAAAACAAGGTTCTAACAGATAGACTAAAGATTTTAAGCTGTTTTTCTTGACAGTACATACTACAAACTTTAAATAAATCATACATTTTTCTTTAAAAATTGTCTCATGACATTTATACAGACATTTTAGTTGATGTCTTTTCTTAAACGAAAAATTTCTTTTCTTAAATTATATCTATCGAAGAAATCTGTAGGAACTTTTGGAATGAGTTGTAAAATGAAGATAATATGCTCCCCTAAACGAAGAAAAAAAGTTTGACCGCACCTGTCGCACCTCCAGCGGTAAAAATGTACTTGAAAGTGAGCAAGATCCATACGAAAACTGCGCGACTGTCCGGCGCCGCGCCGATTCACCGCCGTGCCGCAGGCGTAGTTGTGATCGCTCGGAGTCTTGCGGTGCCTGTTCAAATGCTGCAAGATTTATCTACATTTCTCTTGTCTAGAGGTTTAAATTCATGTTTTAGGCAACCTGGTGATGTTGCACAGTGACTTGCTGTCACGATGACAGCCACTCAGTCGGAACCGAAAATCGGCGCGTGCGGGACAAAAAAGCTTATCTTGCGGGTACTTGTACCCTGATTTGGATCGGTATCGGGTTGCCAATGGATTTAACAAGGAGGTTTACCATTTGAGTGATTTGAGCTCACACTTCTATTAATTTTTATCCAATTAAATAATTCCTTACATTCACATTTTCTCCTTTCTTTCATGATAAAAAAACACTGGTCAACAATTTTATTTTCTTTTTAGGATTTGCGCACAACGTATAAATTTACTTTTGGTCCGTTTACTGAGTCACCTCGATTTACCTCGGAAAAATCGAAATTTTCCCTGAAAATTAAGCTTTTCCAGAGAAAAGTCAATTTTTCGGAAAATCTGTGCACACTGGAGAAATAATATGGTCATCTCCGGATTCAGCAGCTAAAATTATAAAGATAACAATGTAGTTTATGCCTTTTTAATTTTTCTCTCTTTTCATAATATTGAGGGTTTTCCGGACAAGTGCTCCTTTCTGTCCGTGTAGCACCATGTTAAGCTCATTTGATTGTTTTGTGGAAGGGCGGGGAAACTTTTTTTTCTCAGGCAACAAGTGAAATCATTCCCATGCAATTTTTGACATTCAAGTGGAAAATGACCGTTGTTTTCCACCAACACTTTTGGAAAATCAAGATTCCAAAAAGGGGGGATTTTTTTGAGCTGAAAAAGCGCATTGTTTTTGAAAAATCGATTTTTCGAAAATTTGGTAAATATGGAAGATAACGAAGGTCATTTTCGGCTATTTTTCTATTTTGTGGCTAAGAGCAAACCGAACGATTTTTGCTTGATGTATATCTCAGTTTGTAAGATGTGAAAGAAGGGAAACTCACTATTCAGTTGACCCTTGTAAATCTGATTGATGATAATAGCAAGGTAAAAAAACTTCAATGTATCGACATAAACAACTGCACAAGTGGCCATCACATTCCAGTAACAGTAAAAAAAATATTACTTTTCAAAATACCCCTGTAATCTGTGCAACAGACGTTTAGTAATGATGAAAACAACTTTTGCCAATATTAGCGTCAATGTGGATGCAGTAATTTTTTAATTCTGCCTTAGTTAAAACGAACCTTGAGTCTTCCATTGAATCTAACATTTTCCAGTTTCTTAGGTTTTATATGTAAAATGAAATTTACCATTTTTCATCACCTTTTTGATTCCTTAAATACTTGAAAATTATCATTATCTCTTTTCTTTTTGCAGGGATGAAATTTGATGAAGAATTTGTCTCAGCAGAGTTAACTAACACTAGCCTCGAAAAACATGAAAATGGAGAACAAACGAAAGGAGCCTCTCACAATCTTGGGCTGGAGAGTCAAGACTCAGCTTGTAGCAGCCAATCTTCTTTTAGTGTAATTAAAACCGAAAATATAGAAGAATCACAGGAAACCCTCGGAAATTGCAGACTGTTTAATCAAGGATCAGCCTGTAACAGTTGTGATGTTTCCACTCCCACCGAGACATCTATAAAAAAAGTGCCTGAAATGTCTGTAGAAATTATCGATAGAAGTACATCTCTAAGTAAGACTGAAAGTTCATGCATCTCTAGCAATCAACCTGCAAGTGAGGATGATTTTGAGTCATTTACTTTGATTTCTCAAGAAAGTTCTCTATCAGTTAAAATATTAGATCCCAGCTCTCCAAGGTCGAGACAATCAAAATCTGAAGTTTCACTTGCTTACCATGAAGGAATATCCGCAAGGATCTCAGGGCATGAAAACAGATCTGAACCAACTGAATCATCGGGAACCATTACAGAGTCTACAGAAATTGAAGAGACCTGCTCTGAATCCGAGGGAGAAAAAGTTGAAATTTATGAGGAAGATAGAGGAAGAATTCGTCAGCAGCAAATAGTCGTTTCTGCGGCAATACGGAACAGTGCCGACTCCAGGACCACTGTGATGATCAATAATGTTAGTGTTAAAAGCATTAAAGAAACCATAGAGCAATTTAAGCTTGAAGAAAGTAATCAGGGCAAGAATTCTGTCACAAACAAATTCCATGCCACGATTGATCCCTCTAAAAATGACCAAGCCGAAAACGAATTGAGGCGGGAGATATCCAAAGACTCCTTTTCAAAAGTAAGTTATCTTCTTTTGCGCTTTCTTAATTTAGGAACTGTGCATCCAAAAAATTGATTGATCATGGTTTAAAAATAATGTATTTAAGTATAAAGGAAGTACAGCTCCATTCCAGTGTGAAGTACTGCAAAACTGAAATTAATTAAGCCTCGGATCATCAAGTTATGCTCAGAATGTTTTACAGTCACATTTTTTGACTTTTAACACATCAAAGAATATTATGAAAATCAAAACGACGTTTCGACGGTGAAAGTCAGCAATCATGTAACTCGTTTGCAGTGTCTGAAAATCTCCGCTTCTATGTCATTTTTTTAAAGGAACGGCAGTTTTAAAGAATTGCCGTTGAGTATTTTTCTGTTCAAAAAATGAGATATGACAGGAAGTCTGCGACGTCCCAAACCGAGTTATGTGATTGCCGACTTACACCGTCGATTTTTAAAATAATCGAATACTGATCTATTAAGAACATGCACTATTTCAGTAGGTATTCTCAACAAAATACAAGAAACCCTCAGAGCAGTGTTGACATTGAAGCAGTCGAGCAGTTCGAAAGCACTTTTGTTGCTGAAAATAGAAATGACTTTGCATCCTTCCCACTATGCAACATTTTCTCTGAAAATAACTTTTTTGACTCTTTTGAGGAAAAAAAATCGAGTTCTCAAAACCTCCATAAAGATCTTTAAAGTTAAAGATTATAAAAGAAAAACACAAATGTGTGTTTTGAAATCTACTAATTAAAATGTATTCATAGAGCTCAGTTTTTTTTCATTTATCAAAATTTAATCACTTTACTGAACTAGTCAAAAACTTATGTATGTCTTTTTTCGTGCATTTGAATATCCCTTCTGCAGCATGATTGTTGAAACTTTAACTGGCTATGTCAGCAAGTTATGACGACATAGCCCTATCTGCACTGTGCAATGTATTGATTTTCGATTCTTGTTGTGCCGACGTAAATTTTAACAGTCAGGCTGCTGGCATTGGCATTTTATCAAATTAGATTGCTGCAATCTATTGGTAAGGAAAAAAATTGTACATCACCATGTTTGTCAGTTGAAGATTTTAACCAATCTACGCATTGGTGTTTAGTCGTGCGGCGAAGCTGTATACATGAGTTTTGCCCGAGGCCCCTGAGAACTGGAATAGTTTTATCTCCGTAACAGACAACACATTTTTCGGTCATATTTTTAGTAGTAATAATAATCACTCGAATTTTTTTGCATTAATTTATATAGGGTTACGTGTTATAACCTTTTCAAAGATTTATTGCTCTACTTTTCAATTTTAATATATAAATGGTGGAAAAAGCGCTGTCTGTTACGCTGACTTTTTACCGCATAACAGACAGCACATTTTCGGAATTGACATCATATTAATTGAGAAGTACAGTGTGGAATCATTGGAAAGCGTTTTAATACGTAATCGTTTGAAGATTAATGCGAAAAAAGTAGATTGATTATGATTATTATCACTCTTTATAAAGCTGCTGTTACCCCTCTCTCTGCCCCCCACCCCCCATCTAGAGAAAAATTGGCTGAAGCGATTTTCTTCAAACTTTGCACACGCTCAGTTATTGTCGTGAGGAGTTGATCAAAATTATTCTGATCAGAACACGTTGCACAGGACGCCCGCAAGAGCGAAAAGTTGTTTCTCTTTACAGTAATGCATTGGGGATTACGCGGTTATTTGCACGCACCGCACGGAACAGGCTCAATCGTGTCGCATGACATCACAGGATCATAGACGAAATTTCAAGTATAAGGGGGTATTTTTCGACGGATTTTTGAAAAGTTGTGGGATAGTGTACTTTTCGACGAGAAACTCGAATTTTTGGTCTGATTTGCAAAATTTTAATATCCAAGATGGCGGCCGTGGCCTAAAATGCCAAGTCGGCTCCTGTTTGATCGATTTTCATGAAATTTGGTATCCGGAAATATATTCGACGGGAGATCTGAATATTTGACCAGATTTTCAAAATTTCAAAATCCAAGATGGTGGTCCTGGCCTGATATTATGTCTTGGCTTCACCTATTCGATCGATTTCATGAAACGCTTTCCGAGGGAATTTTTCGACGAGAAACTCGAATTTTTGGTCATATGTTCAAAATTTCAAAATCCAAGATGGCGCCCGTGACTCAAAATGCTTAGTCAGCTCTTGTTCGATTGATTTTCGTGAAACTCGGTATCCGCGGGTATTTTTCGATGGGAAACTCGAATTGTTGGTCAGATTTTCCAAATTTCAAAATCTAAGATGGCGGTCGTGCCCTAAAATGCTAAGTCGGCTCCTGTTCGATCGATTTTCGTGAAACTTGGTATCACGACGTATTTTCCGTCAAAAACTCGAATTTTTCGTGAGACTTTCAGATTTCCAAATCCAAGATGGCGGTCGTGGCCTAAAATGCCAAGTCAGCTCCTGTTTGATCGATATTTGTGAAACTCTATCATTCAGAAATTTTGTTCCATAATTACTACTGCTTTTGTCAATTCATCATCTGATTCAATAATTTTAATTGTGGCATTTCATCCGGCATGTTGCTGCACGACCTCTATGATACTGAAAGTCTTACAGGTACAATTTGAAACGGTGGGCCGGGGAGGTCTGGGGGAGCCTAGCCCTCTCAGCAGGTAGCTTTTGCTGCTTGTGAAAATAAAGAAAAAGTTAATGTAAGAACAACTTGAGGTAGTAATTTTTTTGTATTTTTAAATTCTAAGTTCAGGTAGGCATTATTATCCCTAAATGGCTCATATAACTTGATAAAGAGCACATTAATTTTTGATTGTCTCTTTTTTCCCATAATTTTTTTGTTCAATTTGTTTTTGCAGATGGAAATTATTGGGCAGTTTAATCTTGGCTTTATCATCGTTCAACTCGGAACTGATTTGTTTATAATTGATCAACATGCTACAGATGAAAAATACAATTTTGAGACGCTGCAATTGAACACAACTATATCCAATCAGATACTAGTCTCTCCACTGACATTAGAACTTACAGCTGCCAATGAATCCTTGCTGTTGGATAACATGGAGATATTTAAAAAAAATGGATTCGAATTCATTGTAGATGAGAAAGGTGGGTTGAATGGGAAGATTAAGAGGTCGTGATCACAGTGGATCAAACCTGCAAGCTGTCAGAAATTTTTTTTTAACTCTAAATTTTCAATTTACACTATTTTTAATTTTTTTTTTAGTAATTGCTTTTGTTTAACAAGAAAAAGTCAAAGGAGGAATACACTGCCGTGCCAAGGAAGAACGCTGTATGAACCAAAAAAAATTGTTTTGAGTCAGACATGAAATATACTAAGTGAAGCATGCTCTATTCAGTGGTGAAGTCAGCAAAGGCGTATCTCCATTGGTTTCAGAGATATGGGGGGGGGGAGGGGTGTCCTTGCCGTATGTCCTGCATAGAGGCGAGGTTGCGAAGATAGATTGGTTGATGTCCAGGAAACTCGGGACGTAGGTGGCACTCACACTCAAGGAGTCATACACAATAAAGAAAATACACCATGTATTGATTTAATTTAGTACTTGATTCTGTTTAATTTAGTAGTAGGAAAAGAAAGAAAAGAGAAAATACGAACTGAACATTTATTATTTGCAGATTTATTCCTTTTTCTAACAAATTAATCTCCATATTGTTAGATAAATGTTAAGTTGAAATTTTTGGAGACTCTTTTTAACATCCTTGATTTATTGATACTTTTTAAGGTGTTGCAATATTTACTATTAAGTTTAATGATTTGAAAATATTTTCAAAATGCAAAACATCTACTATACAGGCTAAATAGTCTCAACAAATCTTGAGTTTTTTGTCTGAGAACTGCATGTGAGCACTTCTGGTGGAAATCTAGGGGATGTTCTTTTAATCCATGTCAAAGTTACACTTTCTTTCCGATTATCTTGCAGCTGACCCAATGAAGAAAGTGAAGCTCACAGCCATTCCAATAAGCCAAAACTGGCATTTTGGTAAAGATGATATAGATGAATTGCTTTTTATGCTACAGGTAATGGATTTCTAGTGGTTTTTTTAAGAAATAATCTAACGTTTATGATAGTTTTAGCTGCAAATTCTAAGCCTCCAGGCCTGATCAGTATGCCATTTAAAAATCATCATTCTAATGCTTTGTCTGCATGGTTGAAATAGCCTCAAACTTTGCCCTTAGTAATTTGGTTCAACCAGTTTTTGTTGCTCAGTTGAAACTAATTCGGCAGGTAAAGCAAATTTTGGAATTAATCAAAGTTTTGGATAGAAATTTGCCTGTGTAGGCGAAGTGTAATTTTTGTTCCCTCCCACTTCGGGACATACATACTTCCTCCATGCTCCCTGAATGACAGTAGTAAAAAAACACTTTAAAAATTTTTTTGTGAAAGTATGTGTGTATTGATGATGCAGCTTTAAACTTGCGATACTTTTCTTTTTTGATACGTTGCAGTTTCCAGCATTTTACTTCTTTAATAAATGTAGCCTCATGATTGGAAGACGTTTTTCTTCTTCTTTCTGGGAATGTCTTATTATTAATGTACCTTTTAGTGCAGTTCATCCATTTTACATACTTTTCATGTTTGTATCAATTGTGTAACCTCGTATATGTGCTAGAGGGAGTAATTTTATTTGATGGGTGGTTTTAATTTCTGTTGCCAGGATTCTCCAGGTGCACTGTGCCGGCCATCCAGGGTGCGAGCGATGTTTGCATCCCGTGCATGCAGAATGTCTGTAATGATTGGAACAGCTCTAAGTTTTTCAGAAATGAAAAGACTTGTCACTCACATGGGTGAAATTGAACAACCCTGGGTAGGTACTTTTAACTTAGGTACTTATCTCTACCAAGAATTTATTACGCAAATTCCTTACTTTTGAAGTTTTGGTTTATTCTTTTTCCGAACAATTTGCCTAAAAAAAGAGGTGGTTCAACTAAATACCACGCATATGTGAAGATATTCATCAGCATGTCTCCCTGCAAGATGATAATACTGATATGTGTCTCCTACTCAAACTCGTGGTCTGTTGTGATGCCTTAATCTTGATTGGTGCGATTTTTAGTAGCAGTAGTTAGTAGGATAAGAAATCGTTCATCAGTAAACAGTTGAAACTACGGAGCCTGATCTAGGCCATTAAATGCCCTCCAGAGTTTAGTATTTTTTTGGCCCCATCTCCCCCCGGCTGCTAAAAACCCTCAACCCCAAGATGCTTGAATGTACAAGAAAATAATCAATTGGCAAAGAGAGAGACCGACTCTTTTAAAATTAGACTGATCATATTTTGAGGGGTTACCTCCAAGAGGTCCTGGAGTTCTTCCCCATCCCTCCAATTTTTTCCAAAGATAAAAAAAGAAAAAAAGGAAGGAAAAAAATTATTTGATTTTATGGTACGTATCCTCTACAGAAATTTGGAAACCTTTAATTTATCCACTCTCAAACTTGCATTTCTCCACATTAGCCTCAAGTTTACTGTTTGAAATTCAACTATTATGCACTTACTTTAATTTGACTTGGAGGTGAAGGGACGTAAATGCCCATGCTTGAAACATTAGCTCTTGTCTTTCCTATTTATCGAGGAAAGCAAAATTTCACAAAATCTGTAACTTAATTACAGTCTTTTTGCCGTGGCCTCAAAAGAGGTTTTCCATAGTTTACCTATCCTATCTTATTTTTGACATAATCCAAAATCCTCCTTTCTCTAAAATTGCCCCCAAAGCTTCCTTAGTGCATGTACCATATTTTGTAAAAGAAGCAATTTAAACAAATCATGATTAACCAAAGCAAAGTAGTCTTTCAGTACCTACTGCTTATTTTGCAAAAGATTGGGGCGGGAGGAGGAAGAGATAGCTTCTCACAGTTCAAAGTCTCTATTACTCTTTATTTATAAGTTTGTTGAATTATCTTTATTGCTCATTTTAAATTTTCAGAACTGCCCTCACGGACGACCCACTATGAGGCACTTGGTCAATCTTGCTCTCCTGTGCTAAAGGATCACTGATCATCTCACCCATGTTCCTTTGAATAGGTGTTTTTCGCTGATTAATTCTCCTTCTTCTTCTCTTGCTCCACAGCCCAATGTGGGCTTTGGCCTCTATAACAATGCCTCGCCACCGCACCTTATCCTTTATCTTGGTCCTCCATCCTCCGACTCTCATTACTCTTACCTCCTCCTCAACATTCTCTATCCATCTGAGTTAAGGCCTTCCAAGTCTTTTCTTGCTTGGCGGTAGTTTTACGTTGGCTTTATTTTACTTAACTTAGATCAGCTAAAATTAATGAGATCGGTCCAAACAGCAACTCTCTAGGGCCTCGTTTCTACGAGCCACTCCACAGGATTGTCCCATGGAAAAACTCCACTTGTGTAGTCGGGAAAAACATTGAATTAATCAATATTTTTCCCAGTACCAAGTATGGTCCTTGCATTCCTACAACCAACTGAGAGAGGAAGAAGAAGTGAAAATAAATTGAGCGGTATTCTGTCGTTTACTTCACCGTTCGTGTTTGTCTAGTGAAAATAATGTGTCTAATTGTCAATCTTGTTCAATTTTATTTAAATCCCAATTAAATACTTGATTTTTACTAACCTATCTTCCTGCGTCAATTTGTGGCAGGATCATAAGAGTCCCATCCTGCGGAGATGGCACCTGGGAAAAATCCCAGAAGCCCCATTCCTGCGATTTGAACTTGAAGCCAATCCCATAAAAATGTCTCGTTAAGACAAGGCCTGCCTATTTTCAATATTAATCGAGATATCGTGCTTTGTAAAAATCGGTTTAGGACATCATCCACTGCGGTTGTGATACCCTTGGTTTCTCCCACTTTGCTTTCATCAGAGCAACACATTGAGTAACTAGGGCAAATAATTGTGTTCCTGACTGATGAAAGGAAGGTTGAAGAAACCAAGGGTGTCACTATCACGGTGGATGACGTTATAAACTGAATTTTTCAAAGTGTGATATCTCGATTAATATTGAATGTAGAAAGTTGCTGTTACTGGACAGAGCCTCAAAACACAATTCTGTAACCAGTACAACTGACCCATTGCATGTCCTGTTTGTGCATGCATCTATGTTTGTATCTATTCATCTATTTTTTCATTGTTATTTTTTTAATAAAACATGAAGTATAATTGAAAATTTGCTGATCTCTTTTCTTAAATGACCAGGTTGTCTCAAAAAGAAAATCCAGTGAAAATGAAGCAAGAAATTCCAGTACAGCCGCATCAAAGGGCGCACTAGTCAATAATTTGTTAGTATTGAGTGATTTGTAATTTATTGTGAATACTTTTATTTCAGAGATGCGTAAATTAAAATTCTCAATTCAGTGCGCTTGTTCATTCTGAATATTGAATCAATGACTGAATCAGATGAAACATCCCTGGGGTTAAGCCTTGCCGTGCCCATACAAGTATGAAAAATGATGTCTGTAGCACTACGTGTGACATATAACAGTACTCACTGTAAAAGCCCAATACCTAAGCCAGTCAGAGCTGCTTCATTATCAAAAAATATGCTTCATTATGCTTCATTTTGAAATTTTGCCACACCATAATATATTGATACCTAAAATCATCAATTAGTACCTACCTACCCCAGAGCCCAAAGGTACCTAACTCACATTTTTTTTAAAAAAATCGAGTCATTTGCATTTTTGGCACCCTCAGTTTTGATTCCAAATGTTCAAAATAATCGGTAGCAGTAGGTACTTACAATGGTACATACCTAATGGCAGTAACAAGATAGCGGATTCTAAAAGACGCCTATGCCTAACTTTCTTTTTGTCCTAAGCTAAAAGCTCCTACCCAGCTCCACTGGTGAATAGAGCAGCCAATTGAGTCAGCCGCGGGGGAGGATGAGGACGAACTAATATATGCATCGAAGAAGTGGACTGCATGGAATGGAATGAAGTGGCATGCTGGAAGGATTTTCTTGAATTATATAGGGTGTTTGAAAAGTTCCCTGCCACTGCCTTCCTCTAACTTATTACCTAATGTAGGCAAATATTTGAAACTTGGAGAATGGTCCTAGGTCAAAGGGAGCTACATTTAGGCCTACTTAAAATTTTTAGGGTGGAGAGTAGACCCCTTATGATACCTTGTTCAAAAGAGTTTAAAACAAGCAGTGAACTTTAACACAATGTGCTGATAAGGCGCGTCATTGACTGGTATTTATCAACCTCATTAGTTTTCATCCGCAGAGATTTTGATATACAGGGTTATCCAAAAGTCACTGACCACCCCTGTAACTTTTTTCCAAATTGAGATAGAAGTCTGAAATTTTGGGAATGTTCCTCGGTCTAAAGTAGCAATTTTTTGGTCCCCCCAAAATTTTGGGGGGCGGCCCCCCTTAAGGGGGCGGGGGCTAAATTTTTTTTTTTCAAATGGCAACCCCCACTTTGTGATACCTCATTCGAAAGATAATAAAAAAGAAAATTTTTGGCGCAATTTTGGAATTTGTCAAAATTTCAGATATCCAATGAAAGATTCGTTCTTCTCGTGCCAAAATACCCCCAGATACCAAGTTACATGCAAAGAGGTGTGTGAAAAAACGGCCAAAAATGCCTCAAGGCATTTTCGAATTTTGATCACTTGAAGTGATACAGTAGCTTCCGAGACACCCAAAACCGGTCGCCGTTTTGCTTAGAAGCGCCGGGTCGCGACGTTGCCATTTTTTAAAGTGGAAACCTTTAAAAATTCATATCTCCGCCGCATCTCAACCGATTTCAATGAACTTTTTTTAAAATGTTCCTCTTAAATAGAGCTTCCTAGTGATGTATAGTTTCTTGGGGTTTACTTGGCTTTAAGTGGCACTTACGCGGTTTTAGCAGTTTTTGATAGACACAAAAATTTAGTTTTTATTTTGCCACGATCGTGGAATCGACGGAATCTAAACAAAAACCAGTTTAAATGAATGTTCAGATTCTCACCTTTCTAACGAGCACAAGATCATTCCGGGGAAACGTTTAGTTCCCGAGATATGACCGCTCAAAGTTGGTCACATGCGCTTTTGCGCAATGTGAATGCGTGTTATCACTGAGTCATTCGCGAACTAGTGGTCCCTTACGTTCAATTTACGTTGAAATAATTACACAGAGCAGTAAGGTGTACAACACGAGCCGTATATTCACCTTCGGCTGCCGATGTGCGACGTTGCCATTTTTTGAAATGATAACTCTTAAAGATGCATAACTCCGCTGCATTTCAACCGATTTCAATGAACTTTTTTTTAAAATGTTCCTCTTGAATAGAGCTATCTAATGGCATTTAGATTTCTGGATTTTATTTACCTTAGGGAGGCACTTAGGTCGTTTATATGGTTCTTAGCAGAGATTTTTCATACAAAAAACAGTGTTGCTATTTTTTTTCCTTTTTTAACAGGAGGAGGTCTGTATTTCCCCCGATTTTTTTTAAACATTCAAACTAGATCGGAAGATCACCATCGCTTAAAGTAAGTATAATGTAGAAATCTTGGTAAATTAGCAACAGCATGCACCTTCCTTTGTACAATGAGAGCGTCGCTTTCAATATTTGTACACGTAAGAATGGTGATTAAAAGAATCCCTTTTTTTAAAAGTTCTTTCTTTTAAAGAGCCATGCACAAAGTGGCCCATTTTTGGGCCCTCGAAATTGGGGTCGAAGTGCGGTTTTTTTTCAGCCTTAGGGTGATCCTTTACACATACTAAAATTTCAGATTGAGTATATACGCACCGTTTTCGCGAGTTATGGGGGGCAAAGTCCCCGATTTTCACTTATTTTTGCAGGTGTTTTAATGTCGAACTCCGGCTGTTACGAGGTACCGGATCTAGATATTGAAGCACGGTTTGCGGTGATTTCTTCAGCTACTCCAGTAGTATTTTTCCATATCTTTCACAAAGCCCCAAATGGTTTTTTGGGGGGCAGGGAGGGGGGCTTTATTCATACTATCATGACCGTTAGCGCATCTTACTGACTTTACTTTGTTCTCATCTCTCCACGCCGCGGTCACGATGGTATTTTCTGTTGGGGGTTTTTCTTCTTCTTTACGTTTAACCAATTTTAATGTCCTCCCCCTCTTTTCCCCTTTTTACCCCCTCCCCTGCAATCCAAACACTTCCTCTCGAGTGTTCTTCCTGTATGGCAGACATCACGGGGTCATATGTGGGGGATTATTTTTCTTTCTTAACGATTGATAAACCTTGACCCAACTTACTTCTTCCTTACAGGGGTAAGGGCCCCCCTTACCCCTGTATTATCCCCCCCCCATGCCCGCTACACTTTACTGGAAATATTTTGCTCCCTCCGCAGCAGAAATGACGATGTTTCCTGTGAAGAATTGTTTCTTATTCATACTTTTCACGTTTCTCTTTCCACTTCTATGTTTGATTTATTCTTTCCTAGGTACATTCTCTTCCACTTCTCTTCGATCGACAATATAACTCCCACAAAAAAGTAATAAAAAGTAGAAGAAAAGTGAAAAGTAAAGAGAACGAGGCAAAAGAGGGACGAACAAGAGGGGAAGGGGAAAAGGAAGAAGAGGGTGAATAATGGAGAAGAGTAGGAGGGTGGCTCCCATGTATATTCAGTATTTCAGTACCTAAACATAAGTAAAACATTATTTGCCAGAAAAATCGTCATTTCCGCTGCGGAGGGAGCAAAATACTTCCAGTAAAGTGTAGCGGGCATGGGGGGGGGGATAATACAGGGGTAAGGGGGGCCCTTACCCCTGTAAGGAAGAAGTAAGTTGGGTCAAGGTTTATCAATCGTTAAGAAAGAAAAATAATCCCCCACATATGACCCCGTGATGTCTGCCATACAGGAAGAACACTCGAGAGGAAGTGTTTGGATTGCAGGGGAGGGGGTAAAAAGGGGAAAAGAGGGGGAGGACATTAAAATTGGTTAAACGTAAAGAAGAAGAAAAATCCCCAACAGAAAATACCATCGTGACCGCGGCGTGGAGAGATGAGAACAAAGTAAAGTCAGTAAGATGCGCTAACGGTCATGATAGTATGAATGCCCCCCTCCCTGCCCCCCAAAAAACCATTTGGGGCTTTGTGAAAGATATGGAAAAATACTACTGGAGTAGCTGAAGAAATCACCGCAAACCGTGCTTCAATATCTAGATTCGGTACCTCGTAACAGCCGGAGTTCAACATTAAAACACCTGCAAAAATGAGTGAAAATCGGGGACTTTGCCCCCCATAACTCGAAAACGGTGCGTATACTCAATCTGAAATTTTAGTATGTGTAAAGGGTCACCCTAAGGATGAAAAAAACCTCACTTCGACCCCAATTTCGAGGGCACAAAAATGGGCCGTTTTTGGCCCTTTTTGTGCATGGCTCTTTTGCCATTTTAAACCCTCCCACAATCCGCCAAGAAAAAAAAATATAAATAGCAACACTATTTTTTGTATGAAAAATCTCTGCAAAGAACCATATAAACGACCTAAGTGCCTCCCTAAGGTAAATAAAATCCAGAAACCTAAATGTTATTAGATAGCTCTATTCAAGAGGAACATTTTTAAAAAAAGTTCATTGAAATCGGTTGAAATGCAGCGGAGTTATGCATCTTTAAGAGTCCCGAAAAAGCCGGTGTTTCCATATTTTATTGCCTGAATTCACGGAAAATCTGTGTTCCATCATCTCATTATATTACAGCTCGAAGCGCGCCTGAAAATCGCCGAAAATTCGCAGGAGATTCGTGCCATGAATTCCTCCCCCTGTGCGACGCGCCGCGCGGTGACCGCCCGACTCACTCCGCCAAAACTCCCTCCCAGAATTCATTCCCCGATCCGATTCTCTCGCGGTGGTGGATTTAATGTGACATCAGTGGCAGCGTCGTAGGAATCAACACAAATTCGCTGTCTCTACGTCCGGCCACACTATCAAAATGCAGACAAGTGAAAATCAGTAATTGGGAAGGAGGCAGCACCAGTAATCTTTGTTTAAACATTCTCACTTGCATTCATACGCAACTCATATTCACACCGATACTGTCAATTACTGCAGGGCGTTGCCGAATGTAAACGAAAGACAAACTTGTCAAAACACAGAAAGTTTCCAGATTTTATAAAAATAAAACTAAAAAAAAAAAAACATAAAAAAAACTTTTCCTTCACACTTATCCAGGCTTAGGACTTGCTTAAGAGAACATCAAAGGGT